CAGAAAACGAAACATCCACCAGAAAAATATGCCCCCCAAAAAAGAAAAATCAGTGTGGAGATGCTGTAATTTTTTAGTTATTAGGCTGCAATGGCAAAACCCAAAGGAACTGACCAAAAAACATAACACTGCAGATGGGCACAATAAAGCTCGCACTATATTCACTATCACAATAGTAGACGAACTAATATCTTACAAACATGAGATCAGCGATGATATCATGCCAAAAAACGCTCAGCCTCTTTACTGTTTTATATATTTCGAAGAAAGACACGGAGTATTTGGGCAATCTAGCCGACACAAAACTATACGAAAGTCAATGAGTGGATAAAATAATCAAAAAAACTACTAAAATTTTCGTACTTTTGTCTCGAATATATATAAATAATTTTACAGAAAAAAAAAACAAACAGCCAATAGACAATTGGAAAAGAGTCAATGAACCTTATTTAACAGAAAAAAATACCGACTTGTTTTTGAAAAATCTCTCGAGCTTCAAACTTAGTAACTTCAAAGAAAAAAATACACGCCCTTATATCTCTTTGAATTCTAGAACAATTAATGATTAGCATTATTGACCCAATTTGAGAACTCTGGGTCAATAGGTAAATTTTTTTCGCTGGGAAATCTGAAAAATAAATTCTACTTTCGAAAATAGAAGCCGATCACCTTTTTCGCAACATGTTCGATAGTGAGTTTACATTGCTTTTAACAAAGAAAAAAAAATGAACTTAATAACAAATTAATTCAAACCGCGAAAAAAAAGAATTTGAGCCTGATAAATTTTTAAAATGTTTCCTAAAAAAATCATCGCGACCTATAAACAAGTCTGAACTATGTTCATCGACTCTTAAACATGCCAAAAAAAATGCAAAACCGTAAAAGAACGAAAACATTTTTGCATGTGCCGGAATCAAACCACCGACCTGGAGATGAGATCAATAGCATCTACACCACGGTCTCTGGCGAATCTACAAACTCTAGCCATCAAAAAGCAGAAAAAAAACAGATGTTTTTAAATTGCTAATGATATGCAGTAAAAGTGTCAATAAAGGACCACTCGATCACTTCTGTATGCGAATTGGGTCGGAAAAAAGAAGATTCCTTATGTAACATGACGCTCACTAGATCGGGTGTAATGAATCGTTTACTAAGCAGACAAAGTTGTGTAGACAAAGCTGTGCTCTGGCCAAAAACTTTTAACAATCTTTGAGCTTCAGAAAATTTTAAGACTCGAATTTTCAAGTTTCACATACCCCGAGAACACGCAAGCATGAAAAACTATTATCACCCTTCACAGTAAGTAATAACATAGCCAACAGAATAAATGTCGACCTGATTTTTCGAAAAAATCTACAAATTTCGAATTTCAAAGGAAAAATAGATGGCTTTAAAGCTTTTTGAATTTCTAAAACGAATTAGGACGAACACTTTATTTTCATGAAAATTAACCCAATTTGAGAAAACTGGATTATGAAGTAAAATATTTATTTCGCTGGAATTTAATCTGAAAATTAAATTCCCCTTTCGAAACTAAAAGTCAATCACGTTTTCGTGACCTTTACACTTTCACTGTTCGACAGTTGAGTTTGCCTTTTTTAACAAAGGAAATGAACTGAATTTAAAAAATCAAAGGTCAAACTGTGAAACATTAAACTTGAGCCTGAACAAACTTTAAGACTATTCCTGAAAAACGAGAAAAAAATCATCGCGACCTACTCATGCACTGAGCTCAAATTTGAAAAGTTTTTACTTAAAAAGTTATTATGTGGCCATTTTTCATAGAGATAGGGGGAACAAAAACTGGTAAATTGTTATAATTAACGCGCTATGGTAATTGTTGTTCCGACTTTCGATACGAAAGTAACGGAATATTTGTGCTCGGGGTGGGTTTTTTTTTCTTCAGACAAATTTCGACTTTTTAACTAGCCATTTTTGACGAAATTTTTTGATATCATTCAAAAGGTATTGTTATTGTGAGCTCAAATTTGAAAAGATATTTCACCTGTGAAAATTTTTCGTACAGTTATGAGGGTTTAAAGATTGCCATTTTGACCAATTTGGGACAATTAACGCGCTATTAACGCGTAAGCGGAGATTTAATCCGTCTTATAAATTGTTCCAAATTGGTTGAATGAAGCTTATGTGCCATAATTGATTTGTTACAAGGAATGAAATCTATCTTTTTGTACTTAATATGGCGTGTGGGGGGATGCTTTTCTCAAAAAAATTTCAACTTTTAGAAAAAAAAATTTTCATTTCATTTTATTTCTTTTAATTTTTTATGTTATTACTGCTGCTCCATAAACCTTAAAAGGCAGTCGGAACATTCAGGGCTTCGCCCTGATACGAGCAGTCTGGTTATAATATATAATCATTCCAATTCGAACTGAGTTAATAGATGCAAAAAATATTACCAAGTAATTTGCAAAAAAAAGAGCAAAATATATCACTTTGGACTAAAGTAATATATTTTGCTCTTTTTTTGCAAATTACTAAGTGATATATTTCGCATCTATTAACTCAAATTGGGATATATATTCAAATTGGGATATATAACTGGGATTCTTCATTCCCCGCTATTTAAATAGAAAATTAAATTGCTCCGGCGGTGTTCGATCCGACGCCAAAGTACAGAGTTTACTCATGATAATTAATTTCGCATTTCACAGTTCCGCGGAAAAATCAATCTAAGCTTTCACGACAAGTTTGATGAAATTTTAGAAGAAATAGACATGCCCGAAAACGTTGCTTTGGAATTCTTTTCACAAAATTGCAATAAATCCCTAAAATTGGCAGAAAAACAGCTAAAACAGACTGGAGAAAAATATAAAAAATATTCAAATTAATGCCAAAATTTTTATAATTTTCAATCAATTCAATTTGAATTTTTTTTTTGAAATGGAAATCACTGACTTTGGATGTTCAGAGAAGTTTTTTTTAAAATAATTTTTAAAATTAATTAATTAAATTCAAACAAGCACTCATGAAATCTCACTATTTGCTGGCATAAAGTCAAGCATAATTTAGCCTTAGAAACTATCAAAAAAAGGTCAACAACTTTCGACTTAAAAACTACTTGTTGTCTCAAAATTGAGAAAACAATTAAACAATTTTAAAAAGTATGCCAATTTCAGTCTATTTGATCCTTCTCTTAGTCGTTTTGTACAAAAAAAAGAAGAAATAATGAACATTAAGAAAGGGTTTACAAATAAGACAAACTTAGAATAGAACGTGGGTTTAATATATATACACGCCCAAATTATAGCTGGGTCAGATATGTCTGTTGGTACTAATGATTCAGTGATTTTTCTACGCAATTTATTAACCCAAAAAAAACTGTGTTTCAATTCGATACCGCCTACTTCTTGCAATTTGTGACGGAACTATTTTATATGATCTGAAATACTCATGCACTGAGCTCAAATTTGAAAAGTTTTTACTGAAAAAGTTATTATATGGCCATTTTTCATAGAGATAGGGGGAACAAAAACTGGTAAATTGTTATAATTAACGCGCTATGGTAATTGTTGTTCCGACTTTCGATACGAAAGTAACGGAATATTTGTGCTCGTGGTGGGTTTTTTTTTCTTCAGACAAATTTCGACTTTTTAACTAGCCATTTTTGACGGAATTTTTTTATATCATTCAAAAGGTATTGTTATTGTGAGCTCAAATTTGAAAAGATATTTCACCTGTGAAAATTTTTCGTAAAGTTATGAGGGTTTAAAGATTGCCATTTTGACCAATTTGGGAGAATTAACGCGCGATATAATTCGCGCGATTAACGCGTAAGCGGAGATTTAATCCGTCTTATAAATTGTTCCAAATTGGTTGAATGAAGCTTATGTGCCATAATTGATTTGTTACAAGGAATGAAATCTATCTTTTTGTACTTAATATGGCGTGTGGGGGGATGCTTTTCTCAAAAAATTTCAACTTTAAGAAAAAAAAAAATTTTCATTTCATTTTATTTCTTTTAATTTTTTATGTTATTACTGCTGCTCCATAAACCTTAAAAGGCAGTCGGAACATTCAGGGCTTCGCCCTGATACGAGCAGTCTTGTTATAATATATAATCATTCCAATTCGAACTGAGTTAATAGATGCAAAAAATATTACCAAGTAATTTGCAAAAAAAGAGCAAAATATATCACTTTGGACTAAAGTAAAATAATTTGCTCTTTTTTTGCAAATTACTAAGTGATATATTTCGCATCTATTAACTCAAATTGGGATATATATTCAAATTGGGATATATAATTGGGATTCTTCATTTCCCGCTATTTAAATAGAAAATTAAATTGCTCCGGCGGTGTTCGATCCGACGCCAAAGTACAGAGTTTACTCATGATAATTAATTTCGCATTTCACAGTTCCGCGGAAAAATCAACATAAGCTTTCACGACAAGTTTGATGAAATTTTAGAAGAAATAGACATGCCCGAAAACGTTGCTTTGGAATTCTTTTCACAAAATTGCAATAAATCCCCAAAATTGGCAGAAAAACAGCTAAAAACAGACTGGAGAAAAATATAAAAAATATTCAAATTAATGCCAAAAATTTTTTATAATTTTCAATCAATTCAATTTGAATTTTTGTTTTTTTTAAATGGAAATCACTGACTTTGGATGTTCAGAGAAGTTTTTTTTAAAATAATTTTTAAAATTAATTAATTAAATTCAAACAAGCACTCATGAAATCTCACTATTTGCTGGCATAAAGTCAAGCATAATTTAGCCTTAGAAACTATCAAAAAAAAGGTCAACTCAACTTTCGACTTAAAAACTACTTGTTGTCTCAAAATTGAGAAAACAATTAAACAATTTTAAAAAGTATGCCAATTTCAGTCTATTTGATCCTTCTCTTAGTCGTTTTGCACGATTAGTTAATTAGTTACTAGAAAAATTCTTTCACATTTAACAAATAAAACTTATATTACCACAATTTAATTAATTACTCAACCTGATTTTCACCTTTCAAATAAAGCTTCAAATTACCTGTATATGTTATATGCAATCATTGGCAAATTCAGAGCGAAGGTGACTACATCCCCTGCTAGGAGAAATAGCAGATTGTAGAAAATGAGGATTCCGTATTCGGGCAACACGAGGGGGTTGAGACTGTTGCATTGTTCTATTGGGTTCTTGTAGTCCGTCTTGAGTTCGTCCACTGCTATGATTTGGTAGATAGCAAAAAATAACAGCACGCAGGCCAAAATGAGTGCTAAGAGGTAAGCAAGAGCAGCGAATGTGAATGCCATTCAATATCAAATCTAAAACTTAAAGCCAAGAACCTCAACAACAATTTCATAGCAAAAAAAAACTTTTAACACTAAGCAAGCCGGGAAGATTTTCACTAAAATTGACTTCAACTAAAATTTTGACTGCTAAAATTTTATGGAGAAAACTTACATGGAGAAAATTTGATGTAACACTATGCAAAAACCTTCGTTTTGTCGCAATGGGGTTCACCGTTAAAGCCGAATTAGAACAGTCGGAACTTCACTTCAACCAATGTAATGTACAGCATGTGTGGTATCAAATAAGAGCCCTTTCAGTCGTGCTATAATTTAGAGTCCAAAACATAACACTGATTGTTCAGATCAATTCACGACGTGATTGATAAGTAACTACGTCGAGAACTTTTTTTCCGCAAAATCAGGCACCAAAATTAAACACTGGAGAATTATATATCAGTGTTTCTGATTTAAAAAAACTTCAAAATTGGCTGTTAAAACTAATGAGTGTCTACATGTTTCCGTTTTTCAGGCTAGTTAACCGGGGGAACAACCTTACTATTTATTCGTCCAACATGTGACCTAAATCTAACCTCCCCTTTATCCAGGAAAACCAACATTTTAATTACACGGTAACCTGGTACACTTGATAAAAACAGAACATGGGTTTCTAAATAATTAAACCTCTTCAGACAAATCAAACATTTCGATAAACTAAGTTCTATTGTATATTTTTGCCAAAGTTCTAAAAGCTTACGACAAAACGTACCATGTATCCTAGTTTTTGACAACGTATTAATGGAAAAGAGTCAAAGAGCGCCAGGAAACGAAAACTTGACTTGTTTTTTGAGAAATTTCATTTTTCGAATTTTAATCTAAAGAGCGTGTCATTTCCGCCCCAAAACCAGTCAATTTCTTCCCAAGGTTTAACGTTACATTGGAGGCACCGCCCCGAGTACTTTAATTAATTTGCTTATTCAAGTATATCACAGCGAATAATAGGGACAACAGTAAAACATCTTGTATGTTTGATAATGATATCAAAGCGAAATAAAGGTATTAAAATTGGGCGGAAGCGACTGAGTTTTTGGGACGGGAGTGTCTGTTCAAGGGCACCATTATAATTTTGATTTTTGAAGGAAGAGCGCGCCCAAAAAACGCAATTTTTTGCTCAAATGTCCTAAAAAAGCCCAAAAAGCGGCTCACATTTTTTAAAAACAGGGTCTTTCTAGTTTTCTGGGAGCACTCTGCAAATCATAAAGACCTAAAAGCGCTACGAGGTCAAACTGTGCACTGGATAGGCGCACAATTTGGTGTATGTATGTTCCTGAAATCCAGAGAAGTCTTTAAACGGTGGCAGGACAATCTACCCTTTTTCAAACTACCCTATACCATTCTACCCTACAGGCCAATCTACCCTATACGTGGTATGTAGGATAGAATAGTATAGCGTAGATTAGCACAGGGTAGATTGGAATAGGGTAGAATGTCATGAACCCTCTAAACACGTTAAAATTTTGTCGGAACGATCAAAGAAAATGAAAGACCAAAAGAAGAACAAAGGGAGCGTCCTTATAGCGGAATCGGCTTACAATTCACAAAATGCAGTTTGGCTTCATGATGAAAGTCGAAAAACATTTGAAAATCCAATTCCTGCCCCTCGAGAAAATCCTACATCCGCCCTGATTACAAGTCAATCACGTTTTCGGAACTGCTGTTCAATAGTGGAGTTTCTTTTTTTAAACAAGGAAATGAAATGAATTTATAAAAAGTCAACATTTTAGCGCCAGCTTAAAAACTTTTCCTGAAAAAAGCAGAAAAATCATCACGACCTATATAAGCGTCTTCACTGCGCTCTAGTACTCTTATTAAAACGTTTCAGCTTAATAAGAGAGTCCGTAAAACTTGATCTCAAACCATCGAATGAAACTTAAAAACAACAAAGTCGGATCATATCGCGCTTCTTGCTTCGTATCCAGATAAGTTTTTCTGTGCGTCAATTTTGGAAAACGGTTGTTATATTTTTAATTGAAGTTGAGTTAAACACTTAATGCAAAACAAAATCATCGATTACAGAAAACAATATTTTTAAAAGTTTCTCCACAAAGCTCTACAATTATCCTTGAACCGCTTCGTTTTTCAGGTTTATCATCGTCAACGCTTGGCTGGGCTGTTTACTTCTCGTTAGCACCCGTAAAACTGTAATTCTCCCAAAAGAAATTTTATTTCTTCCCCGTGGATGTTGAAGCGAATCCTGAGAAGCCCATCATGGCAGCTAGCTCCGGGTCCATAGTCTCTTCCTCGGCCTCGTCCTCAGCCATGACGTCCGACTTCCTCTTCCTGTTTTTCTTCTTTTCCCTCCGCTGACTTTTTTGTCTTTCTTCCTAACAAATCACTTCAATTTAAAGCTTTTAAAACTTCCAATCCTCACATGCCCCGCTTAAGAAATTTAAGGTATTGAAGATTTCGTTCATTAAGGTCCGATTGCCACAAAATCTGGCATGCTGACTCACGCATTAAATTTTATAATTTATCTGATAAAAGCATTGGTTAGACAGAACAAATGATGCTAGTATGAGATGTAACCAAAAGAGCCCAATTTTGAGTTGGCTACTTTGCATTTTAAGAGCGTTTGAGGAGATTCAAAAGGCAGAAATGAAAAAATAAATTAATCTTCAAAAATCGCCTCCACCTCGCAACCTGCAAAGTTTTAAAAATAAAATGATTGTTCAGACCGTCCGATTCTTAACAGAATTGACATTTGTAAAAGCACCCGTTACAATATAAAAATAATGGTTAAAGGAGGTGAGGGGAAAACGAAAAAAAGCTCAAAGTTAGTTTTTGCATGCTGGTCGACCAATATCTGGCAAAACTTCACGCAGCTATTTAAAATTATGGTAAAACAAACTTTTTTATTTGGATTCTTAAAAAAAGGTCAATCAAACCCCTTTTAATTGACCTTTTTTAAGAAACCGAATAAAAAGTTTCCGTCACACCGGCATCAGCGAACAATTTAAAAACAGTTCAGTAAGTTTTTAATTCATCCAGAGAATTTTCAATTTAAAAAAATCCTCCACTTTGAGGGCACGAAACAAAACAACTAATCTTTTAGGAAAACTTGCCTCTTCTTTGATCTCGCTCATTCTTTCGTTGAAATCGTACTCCTTCTCTTTTTCCTCTAATTTCTTCTTATTCATGTCAAACCTTTTTCGTACGTCTTCTACTGTTGATTTTTTAACTTTCATTGACATTCCCAGATTACGTTGGTCTAAAACAAACTAAAATGTCACTCACGGATAATCAGAAATAATTCATGAAGTATTGTTAAATACTAACGTTTTTTGCCATTAATGTGATCGAGAAAATTTATCGAATCTTTGACCACACAATCACACACATTGCAGTAATATCTAAAAGATAAAACTGTTCATAGGACCAGTAACGTTTTTTGTTTTATCAACGATATCATTCATCTCCTTCCATCAAACTAAATAACTTGCATGAGATCAATCTTTAAAACAGAATTTAAGGCTTACCCGCCCTGTTGAGCAAGTGGAGTTGTTTTAGTGACAACCTGAGTTTTGCCAAGTCTAGAATCCAAATCAACTTTGTATTCTCTGTATTCAAGAGGTGCTCTTTTGGGTGCATCACTACTGTTTCTTGAGCTTCCACTCTCATCATTTGCCAGCTGAGCACGCAGTCTTGCTATTTGTTCGAATTCATCCTTGTCCCACTTTCGCCTGTGGTCCTCTGGTCTCTATAAACGATCAATATTTCACTTATATTATATTGCTAACATAGCTGGGTTACCTAATGATTAACTCACAGAAAGTCCAGACATTTCAAAAAGCAGATATCTGAAAACAAGTAAGAATAACGATGCCTGATTAGTGCCAGCCAGCGTTTTAAAATCCTCAACTATCTTAGTTTACATTCTCCCGATATCGTCTCATAGAGACCTGGCTCAAACCTGAAATTACCTATTCCGAAATCTTTCCATTAAACTGTCCCTATTCTGTTATTGCTCGCGTTGATCGTGCTTCTGGAGACCACGGAGGGGTTCTCATCGCCCTTAAGAACAGCTTTGTAACAAACTACTCTATTCTTTCTAACAATGCAGACTATTGCATTGGTTTATCAATTTATTCTGGATATCGTGATCATTGAGCCATTCCCCCCGAATTGGCACCGCGGAACCTTCCGTCGCAGCACGAAAAAGACATTAGAGGTCTTAGTGATCGTGTATGGTTGAAAAGTAGGCTAGAACATTCTGGAAATTTTAATTTTCGAAAATTCGATTGCAAACAGTCTATTTCTGAGCAATGCGGGAAATGGCCATTTTTGGCTGAAAAGTGACGAAAAACACAACAACAACCGATTTAGTGAGAGACAGACGGTCGGAAATATAGAAGAAAAACGAAGTCTCTTATCGTGACGATCACGCACGATAAGATAACTAATTGAATGGAGACAGTAGACGATAAGGAGGCTTCAGTAGGGAAGAAGGAAGTAGCAGTACCCTCCCGTACCACGAATTGAGAGTAATAACGACGTTATTGCAGAAAAGGCACGCAATCGGAGGCTCGGCCCCCCGAGAGACATCATATGGTGAAAGACTGTAATAAACTGACTTTTAAGCTACTCTGATGTCCTGAACATTTGAATTAACACCGGTATTATTTGTTATTTAAGAACATGAATAGCTAGGAAGAGTAAAGGGTCAATCCATCTCCAATGGATTTAATGTAGAACTGTCACCAAAAACATAAAAAATAGGATATTCGAGCCGTGTTTTTAATAGCAATCATGTAGTCTGGGGATCCGAGACCCAGCTGTGAATGTCTTCGCATGTAGGCGGAACCTGATTGAAAGTCGTTTGACTGATGGCCTAAAAATGGTAACTTTTCACTTAGCCCTAGACAGACCAAAAAACAACTGTATAGGTTGAGACGGTGAAAAACGAGTACTATTTAGGTAACTGACGCCGGCCAGTCGTCTATAGGTGCTTTTTTGCGCTCCGTCACTGTGTAGTATTTGAGCGAATGTTACACATGTCTTTATTCTTGTTTACAACCCCCCTGATACATCTGCATACCGAATACATATCAAATCTCTAGTTGAATGCATTCGTTAATTTAATACTAAATTAGCTTCTTTATCATGGCTCATACACACTCATGGGTGACTTCAATTTGCCCGACATCTGCTGGACATCTTTTTCTGGTCGTTCGGTTTACTCTAATTTGTTTCTTTCGACTATCGAAGAACCCGACCTTTTACCCCATTTTTATGTACCAGCTCATCGATCCGGTAACACCATGGACCTGACATTGTCATCCCAAACTGAACTATAAACAGTCTTCCCTGGCAAAAAAATGTTTTCAGACCACTTTCCCGTGTTTGCTTTCCTTACAATACCCAAATAAACACTGAGCACCGCCGGGCAAAATTTAAGCTCTCAATTTTCGAAAGCCTTATTATTTTGTTCAGTTTTCAATGAAAACATCAGCCCATGCTTTGTTAATCTTGATTTTACTCAAAACTCGAGTTTTGGCTCATAAAGTATCGAAGATTATGTACGTCACTGGTATTCTAAAATTATGGCAGTAATAAACTTTGCGTGTTGTGAAAACACCAAAGGGCGGCAACAACTTCCTTATTTTAATTCGTCTCACACTGTTCATCTTCTTAACAAACATCGAACAGCTTCAAGACTTAATAATATCATTCTACATCTCTCTTCATTATTACGATATTGATCAATCAATTGAACTCGATAAAACATGCTTATTTGAATCGTTATTTCCGGTTTCGACTCGTTACGGTTTTAAATATCTGCGCTCATTTAATCGAAACTGACTACCAAATCAAATGCAGTGGAAAGACAAAAAAGCTACCAATTCTTTGAAAATAGCCAATCTTATGAAAGACTACTTCTGTTTTGTGTTCCTATCAAGATCGAATTCTGCTCTATATGCACATGGCAATCCTTCAATTCTGTTAAACTTGTTTCAAATAAATGTTGTTCAAATAGAAACGTCAATCGCGTCAGCTTCAACTACATGTTTAACCAATGATAACCTTCCAACTTTTGTTCTTAGCAATTGCAACAATACTATCGCGCCACTTGTCGTTCAGCTGTTTGCTGATGCCTGTAACACCCAAAAACGGCCTACACTTTGGAAAAATGCTTACATAATACCCATCTTAAAAAAAAGCAATCCAAAAAAGGTTAAAAATTACCGCCCTATCAGTATCTTATATCAATTAACGCTTATTCTGGAGAGATCGATTTTCAATTTTATAAATACTCGAGTGAGACCAAACATTACTTCTGTTCGGCATGGTTTCACGACGAAACGATCAAACATTACCCAACTTGTTGAATATCTTGACGAAATTTATTCAAATAATGAGACAAGTCTTTCTGTATAATTTGATTTTTGCAAAGCTTTTGATCAAGTACCTCATCACATTCTACTGAGCAAACCGGCTAAGTTGGCCACAATTACACGTTTCTCGTTTTTTCTCTTTGTATCTGAGTGATCGTACTCAAATTGTAATGATTGAAACTTCATCTTCTTTGATAGGTTATGTTACTATTGGGGTGCCGCAAGGCAGCGTTTTAGGGCCACTATTGTTTGTTCTCTTCATTAATGACAGGCCCATTGCTCTTTTAACTTCTGACTGTTATTTAGTCGCTGATGACAGTAAACTGTATTCCAGCGCATTGCATTGTGACATTCAAAGAGATAAAGATCTTTTTTTTTAACAATAAGACTATCGAAAATGAAATGACGTTTAACGCCGATAAATGCAAAGTCGGAAACATCGCTCGGTCTTAATGATATCTCTATTCCTTCATTATACTCTATCAAAGATCTCGGGGTCACAATTTCTCAAAACTTGAAATGGGAAAAACATCTTAAACTCAAGCTTATTGCGGTTAAAATATTTTTTCATTTTACCAAATGTTCTGTTCCATACAACGTCTTATTGCGGACCGCATAAGAAGTTTCCTTCCATACGGCAGTAAAATATGGTTTCCTTCCTTATTTTAAAGGCGTAAACTTGAAATGTTTTAAAAATGTATAAAATGGGTGACGGCTCTCAGTGACTACACTGAGCAATTGAAGGTGACCTGTTCCTTGCCAATATTTTTCTTCATTGCATTATGCTACTTGGTTTGTCTCAATAGAGAGCTTAATGAGAAACACGATTTCGACAATTGCAAATTCAATAATTTTACCTTCTCCGCCAAAGATCATCGTATCATTGCCTAACCTAGACTGACAGCTGCCAAGAAATGTCGTCTATTCTTCACCCAGCAGTTTTTCTTCTATCGCGTCTGCCGATATGTAAACATGCTATATTCCAATGATTTTGCAGCTATTTTTGCATCTCCTGAAGCGTTTAAGAAGTCACTCAAAAACTATCTGCAAGCGAGAGATAACTCATTTGACCTAAACAACTCCTGTACTATGTTTTTCTCCTGTAATTGCATCAATTGCCATTCTTAGTAAACCTTGATTATATACTTAATACTTGTTTATAGTTTGTTGCTCGCCGTGTCACTATAGAAATGTAATACATCAAGTAAATAGCCTTTCAATAATCTGTATGATGCCTTTACTTATGGTAAGTAGTATTAGTAGTAGTAGTAGTAGTAGTAGTAGTAGTAGTAGTAGTAGCAAAATGCACATTATCTTCAGACCACCGAAATTTAGGTAATGTTCAAGATTGAAACTAAAATGAAATAATATCAAGACCAGCTAGTCTAGCGGTAACGTACTTGACCTGAAACCGAAAGGTCGCCGGTTCGAATCCCGGTCATTCCAAGTATTTTACTACTGAAAAACTTGGAATACACTTGATTTGAACCGGATAAAAAATGTTCCTAAGTCAAACTTGTTTTTAAATGATGTTCTGGACATGAACTTAATTAGACTTTGGCCAGAATTGACTTCTAACTTCTGGCAAGCGTGAAAATCCCCACTTATTGACAAAAGTAGTGACAATAAAGTCGCTTTCGATTTAGATTTTGTTTAAAACTTGATAATTTTGTTCCGAAATAGATATTATTCCGTTGTTTCCTCTTAATGATTTTCGATAATTATTGAAGGAAAAATATATCTATATTGAGCAATCGTGTTCTCAATCGAGATTCATACAACCAATCTACAGACCAACGATATACTCGACCGACCCACCACAGACCGAACACAGGTGGAAACATGGTCCGCCGACAATCGACGACAAACCAGACGAAACCCTTGACGACTCAGTTTTTTGTGAGTGAGAAGTACCTCAGTGAAAGGTGATTGTGCAATTTCACGAAGGGGTATGCAGACAGCTACCTGCAAGTGAGACAGGAATCTCCCCAACAGTTTTTGATGGCCGAAGATGACAAAAAAAATTGTAAGATGTAACTTTTCAGTTTAGTTTCTTCATAAACCAGAGTTATAATTGTTTTACGATCCTTTAAAGTTTTTCATTGTGACCCATCAAATCCATTCAGTGTGCTAAAATGTTGATTTCAATATGTTTACCGTGCTTTTGCCAATAGTCTAACCCGAATACCCCACCCAGAAAATCCAAAATCCAAAAAAAAAATCGAAAATCGAAAAAATTTGATTAAAAGTTAAAATTTTGTTTCATTTGCTAGTTTATAAATAGTAGTCGATAACTCAAACCCGAACCCACCGTTCCGACCCGTTAGAAAAAAATTTTGTGGAAATTTTGGAGAAAATTTTCGCAAAAAATTGAAAAATCCGAAATCGACCCCAAATCGTCTAATTTTGGTACCAAACTGACGTAGACGATAAGAAAAAAAAAATTTCGAAATAAAAAAAAAAAAAT